TGGTTGCCCTTTTCTGTACTTTCTCCAGTTCCCCAATGTTCTTTTTGTGAATTGGTGCCCAAAACTGAACTGCATATTCCAGATGAGGTGTTACTAATGATTTGTACAGGGGTAAAATAATCTCTCTCTGGAGTCTTTACCTCTTTTAATACATGCGGATCATACAGACACATGTCATCACATGTCAGGACGAGGCCCAAGCTGTGACCTTCCCTGGCACTGAGAGAGTCTTGTCAGTCTCTGTACATCGTTACTGTATTGTTGCTCATGCTTCCAGTGACCTCTGCTAGAAATGTAACGCCTGCTCAGGCAAAGTAATGACATACAGACATTGCTGATGAAATAAGCAATAACCTCCAAGGGGCCATTAAGAGGACATCATTAAGCTTTTGCTGTAAGGCTGTCGAAATGTACCTTGATGTGTGTGACCGATGCCTTCTGATCTCAAATGTCACAGAAAATCAGGATGTGCATCTGAAGCTAAAGTCTTCCAACAAAGTTGCCTTTCAGAAATGGTTGTATAATGCTGGGTTAATACATTTTTGGCCTTGTATATATTCTGGAGGTAGAACATCCACCTCTTTCCTATATGGAGTCTTACTCCTCCTGATGTATTTTTATAATAAATAATGCAGAACAAAAATATTAGCCTAATTTAGAAAAAACAAAAAGAGCACAAAGGAGAACACTGATCTGAATAGAAAAACAAGACCTAGTTTTGAACATGCCCTGGTGTATGTAATGTACAGGCTTGGTTGTCAGTGGGAGTAAGAAAATTGCATAGCACCTGTGGTCAGTGGGAGGAGGAATAGTGTCTCATAATCAGTATGGGTGGGATGAATGTTACCAATTGTTGGTGTCATTGGGAGGAATAGTGCCCCATGATTCAAGTCAGTGGAAGGACTAGTGCCCCATGATTCAAGTCAGTGGAAGGACTAGTGCCCCATGATTCAAGTCAGTGGAAGGACTAGTGCCCCATGATTCAAGTCAGAGGAAGGGCTAGTGCCCCATCGTTGGTGTCAGTGGAAAGAATAGTGCTCCATCGTTGGTGTCAGTGAAGGAATAGTGCTTCATTGTGGATATAGTGCCCTCATTAGTGTCAGTGAAAGAAAAAGTGCCCCATCATTGGTGTCACCTATATTTCCCTTATATTGTAAAGCGGTGCGCAAAACTGTTGGTGCTACATAAATCCTGTATAATAATTATAATAATAATTTGGTGGAAAAGTGCCCCATTGTTGGTGTCAGTGATAGAAAAAAAGTGCTTTATATCATTGGGAGAAGCTTTACCTCAGGGGTCGGATAAGGGCAAGTAGGGCTGCATCTGACCTTCAGGCTGCAGTTTGAGACCACTGAACTAGAGTATTAGAGAGAAAGGTTGGATGCCAGCTGCCACTGCTCAACCTGGGAAAGGCAACCCCCCCCCCCCCCCCCATTTCCAAAAAAAATTTGCCCTTAAATTGATAGTTAAATAATGCCTCATCATTAGCAACAGTGGAAGAAAAAGTGCCCCATTGTTGGTGTCAGTGAGAGAAAAAGTGCCCCATAGTTGGTGTCAGTGATAGAAAAAAGTGCTTTATATCATTGGGAGAAACTTTACTTCAAGGGCGGATGAGGGCAAGTAGGGCCACTTGTGGCCTTCAGGCTGCAGTTCGGAGACCACTGCACTAGAGTATTAGAGAGAAGGGTTGGATACCAGCTGCCACTGGTCAACATGGGAAAGGCATTTTTCCCCCCCATTTACAAAAAAAAAATAAATTTGCCCTTAAATTGATAGTTAAACAATAAAAAAATGTCATTTTAGTTTGTCCACGGGTGTAAACAAATGTGAGGGCCAAAGTGGTTAACTAACCGTGGGAAGAGCAGACATCAGCAATACCCCATGATAACTGATCACCTTTCAGTTTTAATTCACCTACTTACTACAAGCTACTCAACGCTAACTCCTTATTGGTTATTGTACAAAGCACTGAACACAGGTACAGAGCTATTATTTTCTTTGTCATGTCCCTATCCTAACATGATAATGGGAAATTCTCTTCACTACGTATCTAACCCACTAACAACAGTTATTACAATATATAATAAAATGACAGAAGGAGGCAAAAACCCCCCAAGAATTTCCTTATTTACGTGCTAACAGCTTTAAGGCTGGAGGCAGAGGGACTGAACGTGTTCTAGAGGGGAAAGGGAAAGATTTCCAGTACTTGAGTCTTTTTAAAGTGAAACTACACCCCACGCATCCTAAAGCGAGGGGCTTAGTAGAAATAACAGAACATATTGTGTGCTGTGCTGCCCACATGCCACACACAGCGTTTGCCACAATGCAGCTCACATCTGCCCTGAAGTGACATAATCTGTTCCAAGAATACTTTCTGCTCCTCTTCTGCCAGCTCATGTCTCACATCCAGCTTGCATCACGATGCCTGAAAGAATACATTCTACTTTGGAAGCAAACCAAAGACTTTTCTAAAAGTGAAATGCAGATTCTGTGCGGCTTCACAAAGCCCAGGTCCAGATTAGTGAGCAGGCCCCTACATAGCCAGCCATGACTGCTAGAAAGCAAAGCCAATGTTCCTGCTCACAATGTTTGCTGGTGTGTACAGCTGTCCTCACAGCGGAGGAGAACATGCCACAGACCACCGTTAGTTGCCCTGTGACCTCGGAAGTCTGAAAATTGCCATGGGAGTTTTCAACTTTTAGCAGCTTTTAATGCATGTGTAAATTCACCTCACTTTTAATTGTATTTGCAATAAAATAATTTATCACACAAAAAAATACCCAGCAACTTGCAAACTAACCCTGAACCTAATTCTGACCCGACACCTCATCCTAATAGGAAAACCTAGTCTTTAACTTAAACCGTGTACCCAATACTAACCTAAAGCACCAGTAACATTTACATTAGCACAATGGAAAATATGGTTATCCCAAGAAATAATGATTTGTTGCAGTACAGAGGCTCTATGGGGGTCATATAATGTTGTCATTAGGGATGGGCACAAGAACTATGGACTCAATAACACAATTATGCATTTCCATCACTATTGACATAGGATATCACTAAAATGTAAATTGTCTGTTGTTGTATTGAACTGTATCAGGTTAATACTGTTTAAAGTGGTAGTAAAAACTGCAGAAAAGGAAAAAAAAAGTCCCATGCAAGGTAAAGTCATAATGTGCTAGTATGCAAAGCATACTATCACATTATGTAAAACTTAGCTTAAAATGAAGCCCTTCAGCAGCATGCTGTCACCACTGCAGTGGCTTCCATCTTCACCCTCTTCCTTCCGGGTTTGAGAGCTCCGGCCATCTGACAGGCCAGGCCGTGATGACGTCATTCCCAGGCATGCAAGCCGGAGTCCCGGGCACAAGTTCACAGCTCTGAAGGAACGACACGGGTATGCCGTTCCTTCAGAGCGCATGCGCCGGCTTTAGAAAAGAACGAATATCTCCTAAACAGTGCACAGTTAGAAGATATTCATTTTACCTACAGCTAAGCTTTATTATAAGCTTACATGTAGGTAAAATGTAAAAATATTAGTTTACTACCACTTCAATGTGCGCTATCAAGTGGTGCTTTTGGGCCACAACAACTTATTTACTATGTTATTTGGTATCTTCCTCTGTCCTCCCCTCCTCTCTAAGGCTAGGTTCACACCTATGCAGGTTGCGTTTGAGCTGTTTCTGCATTGTGTTTTTGCAGTTGTGTTTTTCTTAATTTTTTTTATTTTTCTTGCTGCTAGGCAGATATAAAACACAAAATGCAACAAAAACGCAGTAAAAATGCAATACATGCTTTTCTGCAGCAATTCCATTGAAGTCTATAGAACCAAAAACGCAACTTTTTGCATTCAAAAAAGTCCCTGACCCTTTAAAAAAAAACACAGCACAGGTGTAAACATGTCCCATAGGAAATCATGTTAAATGGACTGTACAGCATTTATGCAAATTGCAAAAAGCTGCAGAAAATGCTTAGGTGTGAACCTAGGGTAAGGCTAGTTAGTTCACCCCTGGCTAGACGCTCCCTGTTTCTTCCATGTTAGTGGCAGTTCTTCACAGAGACAGGGTGCGGGAAAGTCATTGACTTCTTACACTTTTTAAAAGACTGCAAAACACATCACCTGTACTGCAACTATCAGAAGTAGAATTGGATTCAACTACTGTGTCTTATTGAACAGTTAAGCTTCTGTGGAAGGTGCCAAATCAGCAGATAACCATACTGTCCAGACAGAATGGATTTAAAGAGGTATGCCAATGCATAAAGCAGAATTTGAAACAGAACAAGGTGGCAAAAAAATATGGTACTTCCTTCACTAGTGACACATGATATCACTGGGTGGAACAATTATGGCACCTCCATTACAAGTGACAGATGATGTCATTGTATTTCACAGTTACAACACCTCATTTCTAGTGACATATGATGTTATTGGGTGGACAGTTTTGCCAGCATGCAGTTGCCAGAAAACAACTCTGGCCTTTCCTAAGCCTTGACAGATCATTATTCCTTTAGCACCGTAGTAATGAGATGAAGCAGTGCTGTAGTCTTAGTTGATTGTTACATTCAGATGTTCATGCAGATATAAAATATACATTCACTGGCTCATCTTAAACAGAGAATAGTTCTCACTGTACCATACAGTCTATTTAAAATAAAGCGAATAGCTCCCATATGCTTTATTTCCTGCATGCTCCAGTCTGATGGTGGATCTGTGCTTTGAAGGCTGGAAGTCTGAAAATTGTGGAAAACTGGACATGTGGGTCTCTGTAGTGAAGTCACCCTAGTATCCCATAATGTCCACATAAATGTTCAATTTGACCTCATTTGGCTATAAGGATTTTTGTCAAGTAGTTGACGTGGCTTTAGTCCAGCCTTTCTCAACCTTTTTGACATGAAGGAATCCTTCAAATAACCTTATGGTCTCAAGGAGTCCCTGCTAAGGACTACTAAATTTATAGCTCACCAATTATTAGCATAATGGTCTGTGGAAAGGCCTGTGGAAAGATTGATCCTTACATTGGTGATCAGTGGGAAGAATGCTTCTTTCATTGGCGATCAGTGGGAAGAAGGACCCTTACATTTGTGTTCAGTGGGAAGAATGCTCCTTACATTTGTAGTCACTGTGATGAATGATCCTTACATTTGTGGTCACTGTGATGAATGATCCTTACACTTTGTGGTCACTGGGAAGAATGCCCCTTACATTTGTGGTCAGTGGAAAGAATGCTTCAAACATTGGTGGTCACTGAGAAGTATGCCCTTTACATTGGTGGTCAGTGGAAAAAAATGCTCCTTACATTTGGGGTCAGTGAGAAGAATGATCCATGCTCCTTACATGACTGGTTACTGGGAAGCATGCCCTTAACATTTGTGGTCACTGGGAAGCACACCCCTCACATTTGTGGTCACTGGGAAGCACGCCTCTCACATTTGTGGTCACTGGGAAGCACGTCTCTCACATTTGTGGTAAGTTGGACGAATGCTCCTTACACTTGTGGTCATTGGAAAGCATGCCCCTTACATTTGTAGTAAGTTGGAAGAAAGCTCCTTACATTTGTGGTCAGGGGAAGAATGCTCCATGCGCCTTACATGTGTGGTCAGTGGGAAGAATGCTCCTTGCATTGATGGTCAGTGGGAAGAATGCTCCTTACATTGGTGGTCAGTGGGAAGAATACCTTACATTGGTGGTCAGTGGAAAGAATGCTTCTTACATTGGTAGTCAGTGGGAAGAATGCTCCTTACATTGGTGGTCAGTGGAAAGAATGCTTCTTACATTGGTGGTCAGTGGGAAGAATACTCCTTACATTGGTGGTCAGTGGGAAGAATGATTCTTACATTGGTGGTCAGTGGAAAGAATGCTTCTTACATTGGTGGTCAGTGGGAAGAATACTCCTTACATTGGTGGTCAGTGGGGTCAAGAATGCTCCTTACATTGGTGGTCAGTGGAAAGAATGCTTCTTACATTGGTAGTCGGTGGGAAGAATGCTCCTTACATTGGTGGTCAGTGGAAAGAATGCTTCTTACATTGGTGGTCAGTGGGAAGAATACTCCTTACATTGGTGGTCAATGGAAAGAATGCTTCTTACATTGGTGGTCAGGGTAAAAATGCCCCTTACAGATAGCTAAAAAGATTATTGGTGTCAGTGGTTTCTTATCTGAGAAATAGACATTGCTCATTGTTCAAGGAAAGCCTAGCAACCTCTGGTGGTACCCTAGGTCTCTTGATTGAGAACAGATGCTTTAATCTAAGGTGATGATCTGTTGCTGTTCTGCATTTTGGATGGTATCGTTGAGGAGGTGTCTCAAGGCAGAGATCATTTTAGCTTTGCCCCTACTGGTATCAGACAGCCTACTTTATTTAGAACTCACAATAGTTCTCTGAATGAGCTGTTTAATGATTAGGTAATATCAGTAGGTCAGCACCCAAAAAAAAAACACTTCAAACATGGGAAGAACATAGAAACTCCATGCAGATAGGGTACCTAATGCGATTTTGAAGTGGGAACTCAACACACCAAATCTAAAGTGCCTAGTTGTGTTGAACACAGCTAGCTACCAAATTCTAATTACACTAGATTCCTCAGAATAAAAAAAATCTGCCAAATCAATCACCATTTCAGTAACTGTATGAGATCACAAGATGAACAGAAAGTCACAAACACTTTGTGCTCCAGTTACTCAATGCAATACATGAAACTGCAGAAAGCAGAAAAATTTGATTTTAGTGTATTTCTAGTCCAGATTCCTTGTACTAGTCCACAATAAGATGGATTACCACTGTATCACAGGAAAACGCATTTTACACCATATCTGCTGACACTGCAAGTTATTGCCAAGCAGTTTTATTGCTTTACGTTGTCTCTAGCGTTCTTATTTTACTAAGCTGCCATGACCTGCAAGAACAAATATTGTTGTGGCAACACAGCTCAGTGCCATCAGACTAAATTCACTACTCAGGTGATATGTGTTATTATATACTGTGGTAACGCTGAGACCACCTCAACAGTCATTCCACAACAGAAATCATATCACATGGTACATGCCAAAATTATTAAAGCTGAACACCAGCTAAAAAACAAACAAAAGAAAATACATATTAAACCACAGTTGTCCCCTGTAGTAATTTCTCATCAGCATCAGGTGTCTTCAGTCTGTTGATGGCCAGAATCTTTCAACCCACTTCTTTGAGCCTAGGCTGTCATGGAGCCATTCCTGGGAAGGGGGTGGGGGGTGTCATCACTCGGGCTCAGAGTGTTACAGCCCTGGATGGCACACAGACAAAGGTGCATTTTTAGTATGAAATATATGTTTGTGTCCCCATTGAAAAGATTTTAGCTGTCTGCACAGGAGGTGAGTTGAACTCTTCCCATAAAGGATGCAGATGGTGAGAAATATTTGACAGGTTCTAAGCTTTTCCTCCAAGCTTATGATCTTTTTTAATCATGTACAGTACTCCGTTTGAATGGCTCAGGTTTCAATTAGGTTTGCTTTACTGCCCCTATCCCACAAAAGCCAGAAGTGCCTCTGATGTACTATACAGGTAACACTGAGTTGTTACTGGGAATGCAGAACTCTGTTTATCCATGAGATGGCAGCACTGAGCACTTTCACTCTGCCATAGCCGTAATACAAGGATTCAGAGCATTCTGGGAGTTGTAGGCTGGAAGCAGGACTTTCCATACAGTAAAGCTGAAGCCAAACAATAAAGGCAATAAGCAATAGCCAAGGGTTGAGACACAATAAAATAAAAAGCCGAAGAAGCTGCAGGGGGAGTTGGAGAGTTGGACTGTGCCAAGCTGCAGCCTGCAGGAGTGGATGTATCCCAACCGCCACAGCCACAACTTCAGTTAAAAGGAGAAGTACAGACAAAGCTCTCTTGGCTGTACTCCTCCTGTGAATCCCAGGAGTGCAGTTCATTCTGCACTCCTGTGAACCGTTTTCAGCTGATGTCAGAAAGCCCATCGAGGCTGGGGAAAGATCCTGACTTTAAAGTCGGGATCCACCCCAGAATCTGGAGCGGCACCTGACTCAGCTTCTCAGTGAAGCGCTGAGAGCCTGGGCCAGCGGCTCCCTCCCCCTTCATGGACCAGCAGTGAGCGCTGGGGGCGGCAGAGCAGACAGTGGTGACTGATAGTCCCGCTCTCTGCTCAGAGCAGCTGTGAGAACTCAGCGATCCGTGGTCATGTGATCACTGAGTTCTCACACTTCTCACAGAGCGAGTGGGGAGAGATACAGCATTATACCAAAACTGCATCCACCTAGGTAAGTATAAATGGGGGGGAAAAAAACCCTACTTCTATATTAAAGGGGGACCCTCACCGCATGACAACTTATACTTCTCCAAATCACTGCAGAAGAAATGGGTGAGAGGGTCACTGACCCACCCTTCTTTACTACAAGTTACAGTTAGCGTTTGTTACTATTCAGGCCTGCTTAGGATATGAACATCTCTGGACATCAACCTTTATCAGAGATAAACATTCTACTGACATCTACTGTTGCAAGCTGTCACCTTCTTCACCACTGCTCCTTGATTGCAGAACTGTATCACTACTCTTCTCTCTGCTTAGCACATCCCTCTCTTCTACTGCATTTACTTTGACCTAGGCAATTTAAAGGGACTCTCCTACTAAGTTCAACTTTTCTTTATGGAATTTCCCCACTGACTCTGCCTTCTTAAAGTGAACCATCACAATAACTCCACCTCTTAAAATGGCCTACCCCAATAAATTAATCTCTTAAAGTGAACTGTCTCCATTGACTTCACCACCTAAAGTAAAGTCAGCCTGCTTTGCCCACCAACGTTAAGGGCCCCAACTAAGCTGGCAAAAAGTCAAGCCTAAGCCTAGACTCTCCCACCTGGCAGTCTTCAAGTGAGCTAGCCTTTTCTTTTGTTAGCCTCTTGAAAAGACTTGGGGTGTCATTTCCCAGTCAGAAAGCTATTGTTTACACTTTCAGTCCTTCAGGACATCTTTAAACTGTTGTATTTTGTGATAATTCTAGTTCTATCAATACAACCTGTTTATTTTACCACAGCTGGTGTGTACAATTGTGGCTGCTGATATTCAGATGGTGTCAGCAGGAGCGAAACTGCGTCTAGGACCAGATAAAGAGCCCATATATATCAGCAGCTCCTTCAGGGGTAGCACTGCATACATTTCCCATTCTGTATTTATTACCATGATATTCCAAATAGGTGCATCTGAATACAGTTATATGGCTCAGAGATGGCATGTAAAAACACATTGCCGTGACTCTGGATTCCTTTTACTTTATAAATGACTGCTGGCTTATACAAGATGTGCCCATCCATTAGCTCTGGTTCTCGCATTTGTTAGAAGGGTGGTGTATCTGACACTTTAATCCTTGCACATGTTCAGCCTTAACTGCCCCTGCTTTCATTAAACTGATTTTCTCAAAGTGGGACTCCAGTCAGTTTTGGATACAGCAAGAAAAGGTTTTTCTGCTGTATGTGACCCAGTGAGCTGATGGCCTAGATGACCTGCCCAAGAGTCACAGCAAGTGAGAGTGAGAGGAAATTTCACCTTTGACAGTTGTCACAGGAACTGGTGTTCCCACTACAATTTCTGAGAGTGGTAATCAAGACAAAGGTTGGGGTGAATCTTCCCAATGGGGACACAGACAGCAGGAAAACAGTTCTCCTAACAGTTCCGCTATATAATACTATTATTTTCAGTTATGAGTAGTTGTGGCTTAGATCCGTCACATTTTTCTATATCCCTAAAGGATACAGTTTTGGGTAGCCGCTGAAACTACTTGAGCTCTTTGTGCAGAGGAAGAGAAAATACAATAAAACACTACTGGCTGTCCTCTTTTATACTTGGATGACAAATCGAATGTTTTACAATTAAGAAAATTGCAGTGAGGTTTCCTTACGGTTTTAAATTACTCAGGCAGTCAGATTGTTTTCCAGTTAAAGTGTAATGTAAAGCAATATCTATCTAATCTTAAAAATTACCCTTCCTCCCTCCTAGCACCCATGCTGACTAACCTGTACATGGATGACTTATTTACTTACCTATTTCCAGCCTGCTCCTGTCACGTCATCTGGCTCTGCTGTGTCTGCCATTTGCAGCTGCTGAGGAGAGAAAAGACTGCTGGCAATGGATGGACTATAGCAGGGGCGGACGAACAACTCATGGGGTCCCCGGGCAATAGGGGATCATGAGGCCCCTGTGTCCTCGCCCACACCCAAAAAAGCCTATGAAAAAGCCAATGAAAGGTACCAGGGGCATCTCATGGGGCCCCCTACTGACCCCAGGCCCTCGGGCAGTGCCCAAGTGTTCGAATGGTCAGTCTGCCCCCAGACTATAGGAGCCTATGGGTGAGGTCACCACTTCTGGGCATTGCCAGCTGTTATCCAGTGCTCTCTCTTCTCCCCTGCAGCTTGCCATAGGTGAGATCATGTGACCAGACCATAGAGGGCTGAAAATAGGAAAGTATATACACATCTTTCTTCCACAGGTTAGTCAGTATAGGTGTTAGGATGGGGGGGAGGGAGCATTTTTAAGATTAGTTAGGTGTAGTCACTTTAAATAAAAGTGTTGTACTGTTGATGCTGGGGGAGATAGGTTTGCAGCATTGGGTGCTGTCACATTTACTAATAAATACAGATTTTTAGTACAAAAGACATGCAGAAATTGTAGAGTGATTTTTGTTCTATATATTAGGGCTTGTTTACACCTGCTTTGCTCTCTGGAGAATGATTGCTTTTCAGAGAGCGGTGCAGGCATGGCTGATAGACATTCAGGAGGTGACACTGGTTTGCTATGATGGAAAAGTATCCCAGCTGCAGCATGTGTACAACCCCATCTGGCTGTATGCAGATTAAGGTGGTATTAAACCCAAAACTGTAATATATTGCGGGTTATCAATCCTTAGATGTGATGGCTGCATTAGTTTTCTTTTTTTTTTAGGCTTTTTTCCCTTGTGTTTTCACCTGACGATCTAGCCAGTAACACACCTACTGTATTAGAGTGCTCCCACTCTAAATGAAGGAACACAGGGGCACCTTTGGACAGCAATACTGTCAGTCTGGGGGGAGAGAAGTGT